CCCGCAAAGGCCCCCCGCAGGAGGTGCTGAGCCCGAGAGGCCACTGGCATCTGCCTTGGGCTGCCCGGCGATGAGGGGATGCCCCGGGGCTGGTGAAAACGCAAAAAAAGGCGCTCGGGTCCCAGAGGAACGGGGTTTTGGGGGTGCTGCAGGGGAGCTGAGCTCTGCAGGTGAACTGCTGCCAACGGAGGGTCACGCTGATAACCCCGCAGCTGCTGGCAGCTCTGATGTGTTTTGGATTACTGGGGCTAAAAATCCCCATGCCATGGGACAGGCAGATGGTACTGCTGCTGTATCCTCCACATATATAATCAATATGCTCAAAATATACCGGGCTAAAGTCTAATCTGATCTAAATCAATAGGAGATGACTAAATGGGCCTTACTTAAAGTTGCAGAGGTACAGCAAAGGGCTGAACTGATATACTCCATTTTAAATGGAAGGAAAATCAAACCATTTGAAAAGCGTATTTTCTTCCTGAGGAGTAAACAGAGCATCTCGTCACTCCGAGCTTGGGCATCCTTCTGCCTGTTCCCTGTTCTGCCACAAGGATCCATCTCTTGCTATGTGGATGAGGATGCCTGAGACACTGGGCACATACATTTTAAAGTATATGGACTGCATACATTTTGTTTGTAACAGTCTGCATCAATTCTTGGTGTATCAACTCTGGCACACCTTCACACACCTTATTTCCAGATCCCATGACTCTCCCACGTGCAGCCAGCACGCACCGGGGGCTGCAGGGAATCTGTGTATAAAGCAGTGGTTTTTTACAGCATTGCTACCCAAGAAGCTTTCAGATAGCATGGCTTTTTGTCCAGGCAGCAAAGGATGTATGTAGGGTTAGACTCTGGATGCACGGGGTAATGAAGTCCCTTGCGCATGGAAGCTGAACCGCCCTATTTATGGTCTGTTTTCAGCTCAGAGTTAACCCAAGTTACACGCTCGGAATACAGCCCCTGACTCCAGCTCTTTCCACATGCAGAGCTGCCTCCCCTGGGCAGGATGCTGTTGTTATTTGCAGGGTAGGGGCTCAGTCTGGGAAAGCACGACTTGTCAGCCGCTGGCACAGCCACAGTTGTGTTGTTACACCAAGCACTGTCTGATGCTTCATCGTGTGGCTGATCCCACATGTGCCTCCCAGGCCTTCAAAACTCATTAGAGGGATAGGTTAAAAAATACTTTAGCAACAGGTAGTGGCACCAGTGAGGCTGTGCACAGCACCCTTGCTTCTTCCTTTCCAAACCTGTTTATTTTCCACTTCGCTCTTAAGGCTGACACTGTTATCAAGATGCTTGTGTCATCGCTTTTCCACATCAGAATCCTGCAGCTTGGTGACTTACGCTCACTAGGATGGGAAGAAAAGCAATGGTACTGACTGGCACTAGAGGCGATACCTCTCCACAGCAGTTCGTTTCTCTCACACTGTTTCGACATGCCCTGCATCTCAGTACCACCTGAAAGGAATGCAGGCTTCCACATGAGGAAGGCTGAGTAAGGGAAACAGCCAAGTCAGCTAAAGATTTAAAGAAAACTTTTCAGAAAAGAAAAATGCTGGGGACACTGTGATCAAAACTACCTATGAAGAAACCCAAAGAAGGTTCTTCTCCAGTCTGCAATGTCCGACTGCTGTTGCCAGCAAAGGACAACGGGCAAAGCCAGAAAAATCCTGCTATTGCTGTAAGTATATTGCTGTCCTTTTTCCTACCTTATCACCCATACAGAAAGCTCCTATTGCTATGATCTTCACCTACATATTCTAATTAAATATATACTTACATAGTCTACTTCTATTGCTATCTTATTGCTATAGTCTTCACAGAGAGAGTATTTAAGTGCTGGATTGGTGTTGTGGTACCTCCATCCTTGGAGATTTTCAAAACTTAATTGAACAAGGCCCTGAGTAACCTAATCCAACTTGCAAGTCAGCCCTGCTCTGAGCAGGGAATTGGACTAGAGACCTCCAGAGGACCCTTCCAACCTAATTTTTTTTCCTGATTGCACATTTCTATGAATACTTCCATCAGCAAGCTCTCTAATGCATCTCCATGGTAAAATGGCACACTAACTGTGGAAGAGTATGACTTGTCATAGCTATGTCAGAAACCCTGAAAGCACAAAGGTAGGAGTGAGAATGAAACAAGTAATAAATACTGTTTGTGGAACCTTCCCAAATTATACCTACTTATGTACCATCCCTGAACTTCATTGACTGGCAGTCCTGTGTGATTATTTCAGTAGTAAGGGTCAGTCTACCTTGCTACTTCAGTTCATGTGATTATGTGCTTCTCTACAGACTAATCCTGGAAACAGTAAGTTTGCTATTTACTTGTTAGTAAGGGCAGTAAAAGTTGCAACTTCCTTGCAAAAGACTTGGGAACCTGCCCTCAGAACAAGGGGCTCCAGTCTGATCTCCAGTTATCTCTGAGCTCCTTCTCCACACACACCTGTGGTGCATTACAAGTCCTTCCAAATACTGCACTCAAAATTATCAGAGGGCCATCATCTTGCTTCTCGTGAAGTACAGCAGAAGGCCAATATAGCAAAGAGATGGCACTTCTGTATATGGACCTGATGCACAGACTCCTGGAAGTCGGGGACAGAAAAGACACTGACCTTTCTAAGCTAATCTGAGTCTTGAGGGTCACTGCAGAATTCGTATTTGCTACTGATTTATAACAGATTTATCCCGTCCATTTCTAAACATCCTACCTACTCCATCTCTTTAAATTTTCTATCCTATGTCCAGGTACTTTACTTTTGTTGGTATTCACTTCCAGCATTCCCTTATATTTATTGTGTTATTTTTTACTATGTTCATTTACATCACTTAAAATATATTCTCTTCTTTCTTGATTGTACGCTCTCCAGTACCTAATATCAGGGTAAATGCATCCACTGTCATCCCTGAACTGAACTGTGCGTATCAGCACTTTCCAGCTCATGTGTAAAGCAAGACATACAATCACTGCCATCTTTTTATTTCTGTTGTCTGTCGGTATCTTCATGGCAGTGAGACATCCCCCCCTTTCCACGTACCTTAACACTACACTGCCATAAAACAAGGTCTCAGATGGCGGACAACTCACAATGCTGCAGCAACTGCAATGATCTGGGCACTGGTTGCAAAACAGAATTGGCTCCTTTCTGTTTAATTTGAAGGCAGAATGGATAGTATTTTGGATGTCCTAACCTCAAAGCTATCTAGAAGCTAATTACTACCTCTGAGCTTTGGAAAGCCTTTAAAACCCCTGCTACACTTCCCCCTTCTTGCTGCCACTCTTGCATACAGCCTTCTCTCCCCCAACCCTCCACTCGCTCTCCACACATGATTTCTTTGCACGTACCTCCCTTGCA